ACGTACGTACGTACGTACTACGTACGTACGTACGTACGTTACGTTACGTTACGTTACGTACGTACGTTACGTACGTAGTAGTAGTAGTAGTAGTAGTAGAGAGAGAGAGAGAGAGAGAGAGAGAGAGAGAGAGAGTCAAAAAAACGCAGAAGCACACCAGAAACAAAAGGAAAAAGTCATTAAATAGAACAAATAAATTACTACCGAATTGAAGAAACAAAAGGAATCAACAAAACATAACACATATTATTACAAGACGAAGTTCCAAAATTTCATCAAGAACAAGAATCAGTAATGGACTACATCCCCAGTACAAAAAGAAAAGGAGAGCAAAAAAACAGCTGAAAAAACACAAAGAATACCAGTGTATAGAGATTGTCATCTAAGGAGCGGGCCGATAGCTGGAACCTGGGCCTCTCGGCTGTGCCTGAAGGCTTGAGCTCACACCCATTAGCGACTTGCTTTGAGACATATGAAACAGAGACATCAACAGTTGGCACAAACATGTCTATCACATCACCTATGACCTTACCCACTGCCAAGGGCTCAACGGACCGAGCCATTGATGGGCTAAGAAAGGTCTCTTTCGAGATAAAACGTGGAGCGAGGGTCAAATTAGGAAGTATCGTCTCCCCAGAGAAGCAAGAAAGAGGAAGGGTGATGGCAGGGTGGCTCTTTTCGTGTTTAAGAGGAAGGGGGAAGAGGGCGGCCATTGAACCACACGTGGCGGACCACAGAGATGATTAGCTCAGTATCGACACGTTGCTTCAGTCTTGGACTACGCTTCTTTGACACGTATGCGGAGAGGATCGGACCGCCGGTCTTTCTCCTCGTCACCAACAAAAATGGAGTGAGATTTGTTTCGCGGGGATAATATAATATATCCTCAACCTTTCTCAAATGACAAAGTAATCATCTGATTACAAGTTAAACATGACCATAGGAAATCAATAGTCACCGACATTCAATCAAGTGATGCACAGAGTAATCCAGTGATCCACAGAGAGAGTGGAACCTAAAACTTGGCAGGGAATAGAATCTACACCTGGGTATATGCGAGGAAATTACAACTTTTATGAAAATAAAGGATGGGACCATTAACCTTTGGTACAAGTAAAGTCATCAAATTAATTTTGACCATTAAATATGAAATTGAGTGATTGTAATTATTCCATTGACCATACTCAAACTTCAAAAAAAAAAAAATTGAACTTCTTGACACATCTAAGCTATCAAATTTAACATCGAATGATTGTAAGTAATTGTGAACACCTTGTATCAAACATGGCCTCATTAGATACAATCCTATAATAAAATTAAAACTATGCTTTAAGAATTAATGACCCATAATAAAATTAAAACTATGTTTTAGGGATTAATGACAGTATACAAGGAAAAGTATGTTGGTTAGTCATATTTGCTTATTTTGGTCATTTGCATATAGGGATCGTATATTTTGTCGTTTTCTCTTCGGTCTTTGGCTTTTTGTGGAGGGATTATATACAATTTTATAAAAAGGGATCACAATTACTTATAACTATCCGATGTGAGATTTGATAGTTTGGATTTATTATAAAGTTCAATTTTTTTTTTTTTAACCTTGAGTAAATGCAGCGACCCAATTTCATATTAAATGGAAAAGATTAATTGTGACCATTTTGTACCAAAGATAAATGGTCACATTGTATGTTTGTCTTTTTGGGATAGGGTTTGATTTGTACAAGCATGAAGCCGTAAACAATAAGGTGTACTTTCAAATAGAGCCAAAATATATTGTTTTAGAATAAAAAATCTTTATATGACGGCATTAATATTTATTTTCATCATGAATTATAAATTTTAAAGATTAAAAAATAATATAGATTGAGCACATCTATGAACACTTAAAAATCTTTAAAATAAACGATCTAGATCATACATTACAAGATAAAAGTATTTCCAAAACTTAAAATCTACTTTTTTTCATGTGCCTACATCTAGAAGTCTAGATGATCGAATAATGTTGCTATTTAAATAATATTTAATAAATGAAGATACTACAAAATGTCTATAGGTGAAAATAAACAATGATTTTGCTTACCCTCATCACCATCAAAACTTCGTCGCGCAGTCACAGTTGTCTATTGGTGTTTCATTTTTCATTTTTTTTTACTAATCAGAATGAACTGAAATTTGGAGCGTTTATACATCTTAGTGAGGCGCATCTAATAAAAATATGAAAAAAATAATTCGTAAAATATAAATTAACCAAAATACCCCTGTAAATTTTCGGAGGTATTTTGATCAATTTATATTTTGCCAATTATTCTTTTTATATTTTTATTAGGTCCACCTCACTACGAAGTACACACGCTCCAAATTTTAAGTAATTTGAATTTGTAAAAAAAATTGAAAAATAAAACACTATTAAACAACTGTGACCATACGATGAAGTTTTGATGGTGATGATGATAGGCAAAATCACTATTCATTTTTGCCTATAGGCATTAGACAGAGTTTTTCTTTAATAAATATAACTATGCGGAAAATTGTTTCATGCAGGGGGGACTGCATTTCTACAATATGCGGTCCAGAGGTATAAAACATCCATCTTAAAGATAGATGCAGATAGGTGGTCCATCTAAAAACAAGTGTAACTAGAAGTCCAAATGTTTTATTAATATAATTATTATTTGTAGTTTGTAAATTTTTCTTTTATTCATATTCATGATCTCCATGTTAAGGATTATATATTTTCTAAAAAATAGGATCAAATTATATTTATTACCAAGCCCGTATTTCTACAATATGCAATCTAGCCACATAGAAACTGTATCCTAACTATATATATTGGGTCATGTTAGGATGCTCACACTATGACATCATCCATATAGGGTGTGATGTCACCGACATGGACATACTAGTAGCATTTAATATTCTATGAGGGCGACGTCATACTCCATGTGGATGATGTCACACCCTTTTTAATGATAAAAAATATCCTTGTGAAAAAATTCTCCATGTACAAAATAAAGTATATAAGTATCTAAAATTGTTGAGTACAATGATAAATTACTTCATAATGTGAGTACCCTAACATAACCTATATTAATCCACTACCATCACGCAGTTGGTCTTGTTCTTTTTGGATTTATTTAAAAACCTTAATTTCTCTTCATAAAAAAGAAACTTCATTTGTCGGTTCAAAGCTTTTGATGGCCAAAGACGCATCATTATTTAAGTATTATAATTCTAATATGGGTGTCTTTGGCTATCAAGCGCTATGAGCCGAGAAATGAAGTTTTTTTTTTGATGACGAGAAATGAAGAACAAAACCAACTGCGTGAGGGTAGTGGATTATAAATGTCACTCTAAAGGAAAATAAAGAAGCTTGAGCCCACCATTGAAGTTTCACTTTCACAAAGCTAAATAAAGAAAATTAAAGAAAAAAGTTTATGGAAGGTTGCGACCTTTTTTTTTTTTTATTCTTTTGACATTGGTGTAAGGTTGCCACTTTAAAATGTAAAATTACAGATGCACCTCAAAAATCTATAGAAAAAGTTGTTTAAATGTTGAAAAACCCTCTAATTGATTATTTTGACATCGAGATACGTGAATACGAAAAAAAAAATTTTGAGTCTAAAAATAATGCATCTTATAACACATTATTTAGACTGGCAATTTTCAAGATTTTCATATGTCTATATATCTATTTGATTTTAACTATTTTAAAAATTTAAAATTTTTTAATTAGATATAAAAATAGATTTTAAGTTAATCTTAAAAAAAATTATAACAAAATTACATATTATAATAAATTTTGGTTTCTAAAAAACCACACCCAAAATTACACAAGAGGAGAAAGCAAGAAGGTAGATGGTCATCCTCACGTGGCCTTTGGAAGTCTAATATGGTTCGCAAACCTTCTTCTTTCTGTTACATCCGGTGAGCTTTTGTTTAGCGAATCAAGGGTCAGATCGTCGAATTTGGCTGCTAATTGGGTAATCGAGATGTCACATTTATGGTAAAAAAAAAACGAAATGTCACATCATACTTTAGCATATGTGTATGATGTTCACTACATGACACTTGTAATCCATAACAACCCATGACCATGCCTCCGTCCCATCGGTGAAAGGTGGTCGAGTAGGTATGAGTAAAACAAACATTATCTTGAGCAACTAATGAGTAAACTAAACATTATCTTGAGCCTAAATATATTTTACTCCTTTGAGGGGCATGTGTATATTTACTCCTCCGGCTAAAATCTTACATAGAGTTAGTTTTGTACCTCAAAATTTTCGGATGCAACCTCCTTATAATATGGGTGTGGTTTCCATAAGGTTGCAAACTTAAACCATCTATTTACGGCGTACCTTCAAATTTTATCATAACATGTAATCTTCATTAAAATATTTTTAAGATTATTTTAAAATATATTTTTATATCTATTTATAAAATTTGTAATTTCAAAAAAAATGAAAACCAAGTAGATCTATAAACATATGAAAATCTTTAAAATGAATGGTCTAAAAAATGTGTTGTAAGATGCACTTTTTATGGGACTCAAAATCTTTGTTTTTTTCATAATCATACATCTCAATGTCGAGATGATCAATTAAAGCATTTTTCAATATTAAAATGATCTTTTTCGATGGATTTTTTAGGTGCATCCACAATTCTACATTTTAAGGTTGCAACCTTATATAAACTTGTCCTATAATATATATATAAAAAAAAGTTCTTCAACGCTGCCTAGCGATAAGAATAGTATTTCGATGGAGCACCAACCGTCCATCGTCCCCACTAAATGAATGAATGTGATTGGGACTCAAGAAACATGGCTCTCATATCTCTTTTAAAACATGGGCTCTCACGTCTCTCTCTTTCTTCCCCCATCCCACCAAGCTCCATGTCTTCTGTCCCTCTCTTTCTCTCTCTCGTCCCCAAAGTTCTCTCTCTGTCTCCCCCATTTTTGCTCCCCCCTGTACCACCAAGCTCTCAGCGTGGAAACCTAATGTAGAAAGTGGAAAGGCGAGGGATAGAAGAGAATCAACCCTAATCTCTAACCAAAATCGGTAAGAACTCTCTACTCCCTATAGAATGATCAAGTGGATCTCTCTCTCTCAAAGCAATCAATCCATAGAGATACTCCATTTCTATTTCAAAAATCAACCCAAGATATTCCAACCCAAGGCCAAATTGGTGAAGAAATTTTGCTTCACCTTTCTCACTCTGCCATTTTTCCTCCCTCTTTCTCTCCTTCATCCCCAAATGGCATAGCTAGAAAAAAAAAGTTCTTTAGAAAAGATAAATCTTACTGTTGTAGTAGGGCAAAAGCCCCCTCTGTTTTTTTTCTTTTTTGTTTTTTTTATAGATACAGTAAACAAAATCCATGCATCGAGGGAAAAAAAATGGTCTCCAAAATTTATGCCTCAAAGGAAAACAATGATCTGAAGAAATTGTGTTATCTTAAACAATCAATCAACAACTGACAAACTTTCGTATTTGTAGGAATTGATAGATTGTTGTTTTGTTTTTTTCCCACTCTAGTATTCCCCCAATTAAAAAAAGAAAATGATTCAAATTCATTATTATCCAAAACCCCTAGATTATCAATTTTTCTATAAGAAAAAAGAGAAACAATCTTACTGCAACAATAGAGCAAAATGGTCATCAATTTTTCCTTTTTCTTAATAGATACAATTGAAAGAATTATTAATATTATAGATACTATCATCCTGCTTTGTTTTGTTTTGTTTTGTTTTGTTTTTTTTTTTTTTTTGTTTTTGGGTTTTATGAAGAGGTTATGCTTTTCAAGTGCCGTGTAGGATTTGAATTTTTGCTTTAATTACATTGTGTATTTTTTTTTTATCTAATAGTGCTCAAAAATTTGGAAATAAAGTTCCTTATTGTGATTAATTTTCATGCATTGGTTGTATCACTTTGTGATTATTTTTCTTACAGGAATGGAATAAAATGTCTTATGATTGAAAGTGAAAGTTTCTATGTTTCTTGTTGTTTATGGCTTACAGGAATGGAATGAAATGAAAGTTATCAAAGTTTCCATGTTTCTTGTTGGATTAGCTTGAGGCTTGGGGGTTGGATCGACAATGAATATGGGCTTGAGGCTGGGGGGTTGGATCAACAATGAATATGGGCTTGAGGTTTTGGTATGGGTCTGGCATATGTTGTTGCCTTTTCAAGAATTGTTTTTGCAAATATATGATATAAATTGCTGGAAATAAAGAAATTTGATGAAAGTCTTATAGGCTGCTGCTCTGATCTTGATGTGCTTGAGGCTTCGGTATCGATATGCCATATGTTGTTGCCTTTGTTATATTACCAAGCCTTGGGTTTTACGCATGTCACAGTCATTTGGAACTTTAGCTAGCAAGGAATTTGAGGCAATAGTTCAATGCCCAAATATTACTGGTGCTTACTACAGGGAAAGTTATAAGTTATTGAATGTAATATGTAATGTAGCTGATTGTATTTTTCCTTGATAAAATGATCACAGTCTTTTTTTTTTTTTCAAGAATTGTTTTTACGAATATATGACAGAAATTATAGGAAATAAAGAAAATTGATGAAAGTCTCATGCGCTGCTGCTCTGATCCTGATGTGCTTGAGGCTTTGGTTGGGTATGGCATATGTTGCTACCTTTGTTATATTGCCAAGCCTTGGGTTTTACGCATGCCAGAGTCATTTGTAACTTTATCTAGCAAGGAATTTGAGGCAATGTTTCAATGCCCAAATATTACTTTGTACTTACTATAGGGAAGGTTATAAGTTATTAAATGTAATATGTAATATAACTGATTGTATTTTTCCTTGATGGAATGATCACAATCTTTTCTCTTTTTTTTTTCAAGAATTTTTTTTGCGAATATATGATAGAAATTGCTGGAAATAGAGAAAATTGATGAAAGTCTCATAGGCTGCTGCTCTCATCTTGATGTGCTTGAGGCTTTGGTTGGCTTTGGTATGGGTATGGCATATGTTGTTGCCTTTGTTATATTGCCAAGCCTTGGGTTTTAAGCATGCCACAGTCATTTGTAACTTTAGCTAGCAAAGAATTTGAGGCAATGGTTCAATGCCCAAATATTACTTGGTGCTTACTACAGGGAAGGTTATAAGTTATTGAATGTAATATGTAATGTAACTGATTGTATTTTTCCTTGAGGATCGATCACTTAGTTTTTTTTTTTTTTTTTTTTTTTCAAGAATTTTTTTTTGCGAATATATGACAAAATTACTGGAAATAAAGAAAATTGATGAAATTCTCATAGGATGCTGATCTGATTTTGATGTGCTTGAGGCTTTGGTTGGCTTTGGTATGGGTATGGCATATGTTGCTGCCTTTGTTATATTGCCAAGCCTTGGGCTTTACGCATGCCACGGTCATTTGTAATTTTACCTAGCAAGGAATTTGAGGCAATGGTTCAATGCCCAAATATTACTTGGTGTTACTACATGGAAGGTAATAAGGTATTGAATGTAATATGTAATATAACTGATCGTATTTTTACTTGATGGAATGATCACAATCCTTTTTTTTTTTTCAAGAATTGTTTTTGCGAATATATGACAGAAATTGCTGGAAATAAAGAAAATTGATAAAAGTCTCATCGGCTATTGTTCTGATCTTGATGTGCTTGAGGCTTTGGTATGGGTATGGTAAATGTTGATTCCTTCATTATATTGCCAAGCCTTAGGTTTTACGCATGCCACAGTAATATGTAAGTTTAGCTAGCAAGGAATTTGAGGCAATGGTTCAATGCGCAAATATTACTTGGTGCTCATACAGGGATGGTTATAAGTTATTGAATGTAATATATAATGTAACTGATGGTATTTTTCCTTGATGGAATTATCACAAATTTTTCTCTTTTTTTTTTTTTCAAGAATTGTTTTTTCGAATATATGACAGAAATTACTGTAAATAAATAAATTTGATGAAAGTCTCATTGGTTACTGCTCTGATCCTGATGTGCTTGAGGCTTTGGTTGGCTTTGGTATGGGTATGGCATATGTTGCTGCCTTCGTTATATTGCCAAGCATTTGCAATGAGTACATGACATCATCATTTTCTCTACTCTCACTCTCTCTTTCAATAAAAGATTGCTTCTTAATTGAGTTATGGATTGGATCAAGTGCTCATGGCATTTTAGCATCTTCTCTAGCTATAAACAGCAATGGTTAGAACCTTGTAAGGCACAACAATTGTTAGAACCTTGTAAGGGCCCTTGTGCTCACAATAATAGTAGGAGGTGTGTGAGTGAGTACGAGAGAGAGAGAGAGAATGGACTTGTACATTAGTAGAACTGCAATTTCAATTTAACTTTGACAAAAAACTAAATGTGAATCTTACTACATCAATGCATATACCCCCATCGAACAAAAACCAGTATAACAAAACGATTTGTTTACATCAATGTATTTCTCAAATTCCTTTAATGCGATTTCTTTCCAAAAATAACAAAATGGATCTATTGCACCACTCCCATCAGTCTTCATCGGCAATCATATGCCTAGCTTGCTACAATAAAACAGTAACATATATCAGCCATGTAATATAGTTCTTGAGAGAATATTAAACAATTTCTACTTGCACAAGGAAATTTATATTCAAGGTTAACTGGATTGCAGGACCAATATAATGAAGGACTTGTACATTAGTAGAACTGCCATTTCAATTTAGCTTTGACAAAAAACTACATGTGAATCTTACCACATCAATGCATACACCCCCATCAAACAAAAATCCGTCTAACAAAATAATTTGTTTACTTCAATGTATTTCTCAAATTCCTTTTATGCGATTTCTTTCCAAAAATAACAAAATGGATCTATTGCACCACTCCCATCTGTCATCATCGACAATCATATGCCTAGCTTGCTGCAAAAATATAGTAATATATATCAGTCATGTAATATAGTTCTTGAGAGAATATTAAACAATTTCTAGTTGCACAAGGGAACTTATATTCATGGTTAACTGGACTGCAGCACAAATATAATGAAGGATAACTCAAGGCTATATAAGGTCCAAGCAAGGGTGAGATACTTTTGTTAACTAAGGATAGACATATGCATTTGAAACTCAAATCATGTTTTGAAAATGTTGTGTAGAAAACAAAAAGCACTTACATTCTACGTGCCCTATCTGGACAATTACGCTTACCATGTCCAATTATACTACAAACATTGCACTTCCTTCCGTTGGTGGCTTCATCTCTTGTTGAGGTTTTAACCTAAGGACTCTTGCTCTGCCCTTTGCTTGAGCACGTGGTGGATTGAGTACATTCACAAGGGACTGAGCATCAACTAAATTATTGCTACTACAAGGTGTATTTTGAATAACATTGCATTGAGTGGAGGGTGATGGTGCCACAATGTCGGGCAAAGACTTTTGTGTTGCATTGAACTCCTTAGTTAACTTGGATAAGCAATCTTTCAATTTTTCAAAGAATACCTCATTTTCAAGTGCGGGTTCTACAACCTTTCTAAAAAGCTCCTAAACCTTATGTTGTTGAATGAAACGAGGAAAAGTACACGGAGCCAAATTATTGGCACCACTTTTATCACCTTCAATACATTTCATTGCTTCCATTGTCCATCACCTCATAATGTAATGAGGTGGGATCTCCAATACATTCCTCACACAAAATACCTTAAGCATATGTGAACAAGCGAGTCCAACACGCTCATACAATTGACATGTACATGTGGCTTTCTTATTGGATTCGATGAATGTAATAGTACATTGAATTGACTTGCCTTGAATATTTTCCAAATTATATTTGGCAACTTCACCATTGTCCTCAACTAATTTGATCCAACAGTCTGCTGACTTCACAAGCTCTTCTTGAAACTTAGCAAAAACTTTGTCAGTGTAAATTCTTGATACATATCTCTCGACCTTAAAGGGTGTCTGTAGCACCAGTGTGGATGTAATATTCTTGAAGTCATTTTCTTTCTCTTTAATGAATTTTTTGGCTTGTAACTTTTCAATGGCATTCAAAAAAGCTGGTAGACTTGTTCCTGAATTGACATACATCTTGAGATCTCGATTGAAACTTTCACTCCGTTGTGTAGTTGTCATGCCTGCCGTGAACTTGTCAGATGTATATGCATTCGGCCCATTGACTACGGCATGCATATAACCATGGGAGCCAAGTTTCTGTTTGAAGATTGTACTTCTCAATCATGGCCATCCATTCGTTCTCGAATTGCTCAACTGTATAATAAGTAACACACTTTGGGAACACATCAAAGAATGATGGGTGTGCACGAGCAACATGACCTCGCTTTGATTTAATCTTTCCCATGATGTGCCACTTGCAGTAATGATGATTACCATGAGGGAACACTTGCTAAACTGTAGCGGTTATGGCCAAATCTTGATCAGTAATAATTGTGCACGGGTGGCGTCCTCCGATTGCTTCTACCCAATTCTCAACTAACCATATAAATGACCCTCTGGTCTCATTGAAGATGAGTGCAAAACCAAGAAAAGTTGTGCTCTTGTGATGATTTACACCTAGGATTGGGCCAAATGGCATACTGTATGTATTTGTTTGGTACGTGGTATCAAATGTTATCGCATCATAAAAAAAATTGGTACGATGATATAGACCTTGGATCTACCCATAAAACACCCATTAACCTACCCAACTCATCAAGTTGTACTCTGTGAAAAAAATGTAAGATTCAATTCCTTTTTCGAGAGCAACCAACTCATAACAAGATTCTCATATTTTTCTTTTATGTTTTTATCTTCCTACATACGTTATTCTCAAGGTCATTCTCAATGAAAGGGACATTTTTTGCCCCCACCAACCTCTTCGCTGATGTAGTCCATCATAATCCTGGATATAACCATGGAAGTCACCATGGTGTCAATCACCTTCCTTAATGTATTTGGTATATTCCGATGAGAGCGAATGAATCTTGTTTTAGTTGGACTTATAAGAACATGAGTATGATTTGATCTTTTATAAACTTGGTGACAACCCATCTCTGGTTATCATCCTTTCTAATGCCCATCTTCATCTCATATCCACACTTAGTGTGTGGGCGAGCATTTTTACTCCCGTCGTACATCTATTTACGAAACCCTTGCCTACAACATTAAAAAACTCGGCTAATTCTTTCACCTTTTTTCTATTTTCAATACTTCCTCTTTTTATACCAAACCCCATAAGTTTTGCATACTTGTTGCAGTAAGCATAAGCTTCATCTTCATCATTAAATATATTGCCCACTCTAGGTTCGATAATTGCACTTCTTATAGGGGCCGACTTCACATCTATAGTTAAAGGATCTTTATGCCCATTCAATGCGACCACCGTGTCCTCATCAAGGTCATCCATCTTGTTATAATTGGAGGAGTTGAGGGAAGGGGGCACACATTGATTTATGCCCATTCAATGCCACTATTTCCTCATCAGAGCGAATATTATGGTAGGATTCTTCTACCATAGGGTCAACATCGAGGTTATCAACTTTGTTATAATTTGTGGAGTCACACATTGATAACGAGGCATCCATAAGACATTTCATTCCATTCCTGTAAGCCACAAAACAACAAGAAAC